CTCTGACCAGCGCGCGCTGACAGCGCAGGCCCGGTAGGCGCGGGCGCGGCCCGGCACGCTGCCGCTCTCATCCCACGCCCGCCGACACGCCCACGCTCCAATCACAACAGGGCGCGCGCCGCGGCGCGGCCGGTGGCGCGCTGTTTTGACTTGGGCCGGCCGCGGCCCGTGACCGCGCCAGCCCTCCAGATGCGCACCGTAAGCAACGCCGCTCGGGCGGCCGCCGTGGCGTCAGCGCAAACCGTGCAATCGCGTCAGCTCTCACTGCTGATTGGCTGAGAGACGCGAGTGCAGCAGAAACACTGCGCGAGCTGGGGCCGTAATCGCGGCGTTCATTAAAACAAGAGATGCCGGTCGCATTGATCCGCTTAGAAGCACGGGGAGCTCCCAAACCACTCACCATGTCCGCACCGCCAGGGGCTAGATCAAAATGGAAAGGAATGGGAAACTGGCCCGGTGCTTTGGGCCGGGATACGGCGTCACATTTCTTTGATGTCTGAGAGCGAAAGGACCCGGCGGCGTGCCTTAGATGAAGGCAATTTCCGCTGAAAAGCCAGCGGGCAGTTTCACTCTCCCCAGCGTGCTTTCTGCGGGACATTGCGAAACTGCAAATGGCTTTCTCTTTCCTTATAAAGTTTCGGGAACTTATATTGCATTTTGTCCCGAGGCAGGATATATTATTTATTGACTGGTAAATACGACAATGGCTCCCGGCTGATTGCCCACGAGTGTGTGTTTGAGATGTAAACAGGGGGAGAGCGGTCTTCAGGCAAAGTTGGGCGCGGCGGCGCAGTCATGTTGACTTAATAATGTGCTGTTTGGAAGTGAACCGACTTAGATCTGCACGTCATTCAGAGGAATCGTGTTTACTGTCTGTGCGGACTGCGGTGCAGTGCGTGCGTCGCCCTGATTACTCGACGTCTATTTCCGTGCATGGAAGGACTTTGACCCCGGCTGATGAGCAGTGACCAATCAGCCGCCGCCGCCGGTGGGCTGGGCTGGCTGTGAGGCCGTGACGTGACCAATCAGACGCCGGCGCCGGTGGGCTCGGCTGGCCGTGACACGCCGCGTCTGCCGGCAGGCCCGGACGCCTCCGGGCTCTACGACAATTTGTCGGGCGGCCAGGGTCCGGCCGACAACCTGGTGACGTCCCGCGGCCGGCCGCCAGTCATCCTGCCCAAGGAGCGGGTAGCCAGCGCGTGCGCGGCCCGCTCGGCTCCCGGCTCCAGCTGAGCTGCGTCTCCTCCGGCTACCCGGAGCCCGAGGTCAAGTGGTACAAGGTGAGGCTGACGCAGCGGCTCGGCCGACACCCCTCCGGTGGTCCGGTCGTCACGCGCGGAGCCGTGGGGCGAGACGGGACTGGGTCTTCCGTGCTGAAGTCGGGCCCGTGTGCTATTCACAAACGCATTACACTACTTATGGATCGGTCACTTGCTAGTGAGTTGCAATCTGAAGCATGTTTGAATTCGGACTGCACTGTAGTTGAACCACCCTGAGTTTTGTGTTGGGACAAAATGGCAACTCAATTACTGTTCAGAAAACTGAGCATTTGTTCTCAGTGCGTTAACGAACGCATTATGCGGTTAAGCAAAGGCAGCCTTCTGCAACTGGAATCTGCTGAAAAGAGATAGTGGCACGAGATTGTTACTAGTCCAACGACCAGCACACCACAGTTTGCTTGTTGCACTGCCATGAATCGATTGGTTACTACATGTACTGAGTTCTATTCGTCGGGCGACATGGGAGTTGGGAGCGTTGAGAGTTGAGCATGGAGAGTTGGGAGCCACTGGCCGCAGCTGAAAAGCAAAACTCACGAAGGCAGCCCCAAGAAGCGGGACTTCTAGCCGTCCCTCCATCAACCGGCCAGTCGGCGGTGGCCTAACAAAGACGGCTTCCGTGCGCCGCCCACAGCGGCTCGAAAGAGTGTCATGCGCGCGACAGGGGGTCCGACCCCCCCCCCCCCCCCAGCGTCTGACAGGTCGGGGTCCGTATCGCAGGAGGGCCGCGTCGTGCTGCCCTCGACCCGGGTCCAGGTCAAGGGCGGCCAGCTGACCTTCACGCAGCTGCTGCGCTCGGACGAGGGCGTCTTCATCTGCGTGGCAGCCAACATATTCGGCTCCGCCAACCACAGCTTCAGTCTGCGGACGACAGGTGGGTACCGGCCGCGCCGCGCCGCGCCGCGCCGCTCAGGCTGGTCGGCGTCTGGGGTCGCAGCGTGCCGGGCCAGCCTAGCACGGCTATTGTGAGCGGGTCGGCTGCGTGTCAGCGCGCTGTCGCGTCGGCTGCCTGACGATCGTGACGCCCTTTCGAACCGCGCATAAAATGGGACGGTCGACACCCGCCAACAGCGGCTAGTTTGGCTTTCAGTTGGGGTCGTTCCAGCGCATCATGTTTGGATGGAAATTGAGTCTTGTCGGGTGGCAAACCTTTGTAGTGCATTTTGGAGCTAAATTTGGTCATTTTCCCTGATAAGTTCCCGATCTTTTGAGAAACAGCTTCCCGTCTTTCAATCACGACAAATATTTGTAATTCGGGTCATTGTGCGAGGCGTCTCTTTTCCGGATGTAGTCTGGATCGGGCCGGCGACGACTGAGTTCAGCTAAAATCGCTGCCAGGGACTCAGCGGACTCTTCCGGCACCAGCGCCGTCGGTGGCCTTATCAACCCCTACCGATGTCCAGGCCGCGGCGCCCATATTGATTTGCCATCCCGGACTTGACTGATGACCTCTCATGGACGCATGTATCAGCTGCGGGCTATACATTAATATTGAGAACAGGGGCGTCGAATGAGCAGCCTATCTGCGCGTGGCACGAGGGCCAGCGCCGTATCGGCGGCCGCGCGCAGGTCCGCTGAACCCTGACCTCTGCGTTCGCAGAGCCGATTTCGCACGATCCCGTGTTCGTTGGGGCGCCGAGCAACACCACCGTCTACGAAGGCGAGACGGCCGTGCTGCAATGTCGCGTACAGAGCATCTCCAAGGCGCACATCAAGGTGAGGAGGCGCCGCCGCCGGCCGGCGGCCCATCGCTTGACCCAGATGAGCCGGCACCGACGCGGCGCTGTCAAAATTTGTTTGCGCGTTGCGCTTCGAAGACGTATGTCGGTGTCGCAGGTGGTGTCAAATTAGTGGGGAACTTTAACGAGGCGGCCTGGGGCACGCGAAGTCCTGACCCATGCGTCTAGATCTGTCTGAAATCCAGCATTCCACCGTGACACCGGGCGTGGCTAACACCGCTGAGCCCCGGTTCGCTCAGGTCAGACGTGGCATCACTCGCACTGAGATGGTATGATATAAAGTGCATGGCTGGCCCGGTGGTTTCAGTAAGGAAACAGATTGTGGTCGGCATATAACCACCAGTCGTTTTACCAGGGGTTTGCGCTTGCTGCAGAGGTTGGTCAACTTTGGCCAAACGCCACACTAAGCATTGGGAGTCATCGAGCTAAGCATAGCGTTTTTAGTTTGTTCTCGCCGGCTGTGTACGTAAGGCGGTTAAGGATACATTTGCATTTCTTATATACCTTTGTTTGTTTACTTTCAATTTGTCTCCAGTCTTGATTTAAGTGGGAAGGGTATTTTATCCTCAGAATCATAATGAATCTGGCAGCCAGGCAGCCGTACAATGCGTCACGTGACGAGAAATGCACAGTGCCTGCCAGATCAAGGACTTCAAAAATAAAATAGAAGCAGTGTGTGCGGTCGCGATGTTGACACAAAGCCGTTTGAGATGTGGTCCTTGACAACGTACTATTTTCCGTGTTTGATGACAGCACTGCCACTTCTAAAGGTTCACATTCTTTACCTTCTTCACCCACTTCACCTTCATCTCCAATGTCACCTTCTCGTAATGAGTGTGGTAACTCGTCAAGTTTAACTCGTAAGTGCAACTATGCGCAATGTAACTATGTGCAATGTAGTGCTAAGAAAGTAGCATGACTCCATCCTTCCTTAGTTGGCCTTGCAACGTCAACTAAATCAGCTGTGCGGCTATGCGGTTGCACTTCCACCTCATAAATCCAAAAGCAAGTCTGAGTTGTTACGAACGTCACCTTCTCCCGTATCGTTCTTAAATTAGAACACTAGACGTGGACCCATAAACCGGTGACAGAAAACTGGCTAAGTGATCCCCGACATCCAATCCGTTGCGATGTTGCAATGCTAAGAACTTTTTAACTTTTCGTGAGAATGTCACCGGGTCAAGAGTCGAGAGCTTTTTCAACTTTTCGTGAGGAAATTCTTGCAAAGCTCTTACAAAGACCCCTTTTTGTCCGTGCCTATCCAAGGGGGTTTGCAAAAGCAAAGCTGTCATTGGGAGTGACAACACTGTGTATTTGCTCAACAAACCTCCACCGTCTGGGCCCCGTTACCAAACTGCGTACTTTCATCAGCGCCACCAAGACAGTCGCCGCCTTGTGGGAACGGCATAGCTGGCTGCCTTGTTCGAGGCTGTTGCTCGTGCGCTGGCCATGCCAGGCCACGGGCGCAGCCAGAACTTGCGAAGGGAGGGCCGCGATAATTTGCAACGGGGGGGGGGGGGGTGCTTTTTTTACGAGCAAGTCCCAACCCCATTGACAGTACCTACGCACTGCGCGCAGACTTACAGACCCTGCTAACGCTGATGTGTGCAGTGTATACTGCGTCAATGGGCTTTCGATGTTGATCGGCCTTGGAACCCTAAACCATTGTTTCTGCGCGCTATACGCGGACACACGGCTATCCGTTGGTCTTGTTACTAAATTACGGCTGTTGGGCTTTACTGGTCGCCGCCCCATGGTCATGTCGAAGAGATTTTAAGCCGAAATAGTGTTCCTGATCATCCGACTCGGGCGTTGTATTCAGTAGTGTCGTGGTGAAAAACTACGCTCAAACCCGATAGGGGAATGGGCCCGACCCCCCCCCCCCCCCGCCCATGAGCTCCGTCGCTGCGCCACTGCGCCCGCCGACCGACGGATAACACGTGCCTCACCACGCTAGCCCCCCGTCGGACCGTTTACACTGCACATTGTTTGCGCGACACACCACCAAACCTTCGACTTCAGAGAAAACGTCCAGAAGCCATCAACGGAGGCTTCCGGTTGCTCAGTTCTTTAGGAACACTGGGTGTGTTTCCGATGTTGTTGGTCATCCCTTCAGCTGTGAATCGCACTGCAGTGTGTCGTGTCCCATATTGCCCTGCGCTGTCGCCCCGGGGCCGGTGACGAGAAGCCCTGACCAGCTCCCGTGTCACGTGACCGGACGGCGACCGTCACGTCACGTCACGTCACGTTCGCCAAGCGCCAGGCGTAACGCACTGTTTTCAGGGGCACCAGCAGCTACTGACCGCCGAGCGGTGTCCCAGAGCGGGCGGGTGTCGCAGCGGCGGACCGGACCGTTGCAGGGCGGCCCGTGTGTCGTGTGCGGCGCGGGTCGCATCCGCTGACCGACCCACCGTCCCCAGTGGCTGCGCCGAGTCCGCCCGGGAGACAGCCAGACGTTCAACCAGACCGAGGTGGAGATCCAGGGCTCGCGATACGTAGTCATCTCGGGCGCGCCGACCGTGCAGGACGGCGACAGCTACTTCACCAAGCTGACCTTGCCGGACGTCGTGCCCAGCCAGGAGGGCGTCTTCGTCTGCATGGCCGCCAACGACAACGACTTTGATAAACGGGAGGCCTTCCTGCACGTGGTGCCTGGTGGGTAGCGGCCCGGTGGGGCAGCAAACTGTTTTGTCTGTCGTCATACGTCGTATATGTGATTGATAACGAGGAAATCAATCGCATCTGCGATGTTATTCTTCAGAACTTCAGGTAATACGTGCCCGGCCCACGCTCTCGCTCTTGATTAACTGATGTTTGGATGTACATACTTCGCCTCGGTTTGTGGGTCCAGAGACCACGTAACTGGCGATTGATTGAAGATCCACGCGCTTCTGCAGACGGGAACTCCTGCTAAGCACGCTATGCCCCGCGCCCGGTCCATGACGCTCGTTCGCTTTCATTCCAGCGCCACCGAACTCCATGCAGGCGCTCCTGATAGCGCTGCCCGCCGTCGCCGTCGTCGCTTTATCCTGGGTGCTATCTGCTGCCTGCACCGGAGACGCAAGACGCTGCCGCCACACTAGCGACGGACAAGAGTAAACAGGCAGGTGCAGCTGGCGCCCGCGGCGGCGCTCGGGCCGGAGCACTTGTCGCAGGGTCCCCGGGCGACGGCGACAGGGCCGCTGCGGACAGTGCTGATGCCGCCGGGGCGCCGCGTGCGCGGGACGGCGCCAGCGCCGGCGCGCCGCGGGCGCACGGCGGTGCACCCGCCGGCACCCTACGACTTACCGGCAGTTCCGGCACCTGGACGTGGTGTGAGTGAGGCGGCGGCGGAGTCACCGCCTGGGACACGGGACATGGGCACCGGGGCGTTCCGCGCAGACTTGAACCGGCCGTCCCGGCCGACGCCCGGCTGAGACGAGGGTGCCGCGGGGCTGCCGCGCCAGAGAGCGGCGCCGGACACCCGGACGGGACCGGCCGGCCCGGCCGCAGCGCGTGGATTGTGATTGGCGGCGCGGCTGGCTGCTGGAGCGTGTGAGAGCTTCCCATCTAGTCATTGTAGAGCCAAACGCCGGGCGCGTGTCGGTGTGAGCCGCCTCTGTACGCGTGTGCAAGTGTGAGACAGCGCTGTGCGCGCGCGCGCCTGTGGTGCACGCCAGGGCTCGTGTGGCCCCCAAATGTTTGTCCAGAGTCCGGCGCTTATCACAACAATCTTTATTTATATCATTCCTTCGAGAGAGCCAGGTAATATACACAACTTAAAAACCAGTTAGTTGGCCAGCGCTATTCGATAGGCATAACAATCGCGATCCTCGCTACACTTCAATTTAATCACAACAATGGGGTTTACATTATCAATGACAGGACTAGATCTCCCAACAAACTAAACATGTTACCAAACAAACCAAACGTAAGGTAAACTTTGACATCCTCAAAATCAACGAAGTTACATCGGCAATCACACTGCAGTATGCTTACTTGCGGCCGGACGCTGAGCGTGAAAAGAACAATGATATAATATATGAAGTACCTGGCCCGAAAATGCAGTTAGTATACTCCACGTCAAATAGAATAGCGCTCAAGTTGCGACACGGCGATAATCCAGGCCCTATGTACACAGTAAAAGGCGAGATAGCCCGAGGCCGCACTCAACCCGAGAGCTGAAAGAATACGTGTAGGCTGTGTATACTTGCCTAGCAGGTGCACCTCCCAGCGGAACAAGGCACGAAAGCCGTGGGCGGCGGCAGCGGCGCGCTGCAAGGCCAGACCGCGACCCGTCACGGCCGTCCCGGCGCTAGTGAGGCGGCGGCGGCTCGGAGCCCGGCAGTGAGCGGCCGCCGGCGGCGGCGGCCGCGGCGCCGGCGGCCGGCCGCGCCGGCTTCCGGCGGCCCCGCACCGGCCACCACCCGCGTGCCCAGCGCCACCGGCGCCGGCACGCCCACCAGGCCAGCCGGCCGCGGCGCAGCGGCGCGGCCGCCGCGGCCGGCCGCGGCGGCGCCGCGCGCTGCCGCCGCCGCCGCTGCCGCCTCACTCGCGGGCCGCGCTCCGGCGGGAGGCGCGGCGGCGGCTGCGGCTGCTGCCGGCCGGCTGGCGGCGGCAGCCGCGGCCGGGGGCGCCGCGCCTCCCGCCGGCCGCGGCGGCGCCGACTCGGCGCCGGAGCACTCTGGCGCGGACCTCGTCACCATCCCGCCCGTATTGGCACTGGCCCCGACCTCACACATGGCTATACACTCCTCCAGCGACTTGGTGAGAGAAGACAACACTATTTCCTGAAAGTAGAAAAACGCAATTCAGTTTCATTTCTCACAAGTTCACCGCAATCATTACAGTTTGCATGTGCTTCTTTAAAAAACAGCTTTAAAATGTCAATCCGACGCATCGATACGAAGCCTGCACACCGCAGTCAAGGCGTTACCGGCGCGCCCGTACGCTGTTCGGCCCCACCTGTGCGAACAGACTCTTGTCGGCCCGGTCCACCAGCTGCTGGGTCCGGTCCACCTCCGAATCCTCCTCGTCCCGCATCCTGCAAAGCACCGGCACTCGTCACAAGACGGGAACAACGGCACTGGGCTTCGGCCATACACGGTACGTCCAGCAGCGGTACACGCGCGCGCGGCAGCGTCAGTAAGCCCACCTTCGAGCTAGGCACTTACAAAGACAAACAGTATACAGTGTGTTCCAATACACGAAACCTGCTTTTTCAGTATCCGCTGTACAACTTGCTAAACTTTCTTGCAAACATGCATGCAAATTTCGGCGTGTCTCAACCGTCTGGTTTCACATCAGCTTAATACATTTCAACGTGACGTTAGCGGTTTGTGAAGAACACAATTTTGTCAGAAACTCAGAAAGCCGTTTTCTGTGCGTCATTTTTCCTTTGGCGTGCTCCCGAATTTCGGAAGAAAATAACACCACTGACATGCTGGTATATACGATGTAAAGTTCTACACATTCTGCTGGCACAGCTCTGGAGCAGAGGATCAATGTGACCAGGGCGTCTTCCCCGTCTTTGGGTGTACCACGCAGGCACGGATGGGCTGAACTAAACGCATTTTCTCAGCACACGCTCACAGCTTGCTGCGAAGATGGTGCCTACTTCCTCCATGGTTACTGTTTCAGCCCAGATATGGTTTTAGTTTGTTTTCGTACGCTGTAAGCTTTACGTATCTCCAATGTGAGAATCTGGCGACTTCAGAGTCGTGGACTGTGGCAAGGTGCCCGCTCCACACTGACCAAATGGCCAACCACCTTCCTTAGGCGTGGTTTTAGTCCTCCTCCGGTCTCCTTGAACGTGTGAGGCGGCGTGCTATTTTCCTGGATGGCTGCTCGTTCCTTCCCTGTCCCATTCCTCCAGGGTCCCATGGCCCAGTGGCACAGAGTGGTATTTGGCGCACTGATTTCATGTACCGGAAAGAATTGGTTCCCCCCCCCCCCCCCCCCCATACACACAACCGAGACGGGCCTGCTGCAGGCACACCGCCAATCAACGGTCAGCAGCTAAATACCGAACTGAGCGTCGCAAAAACACACGCATGTCAGAAATCTCCCTTGAAATCATGCGAAAATTTCGCGCTGAGCCTGAAAAAGGTGTGCGCAAAAAACAATACAAAAAACGTTTTCGGACCCCTGATCAACGCCTGCCAGAGATAACGACCCCGTCAGTTTATCACCCAGGACCACGGGGGTTCTCTGCCACGTCCCGCGTCTCCCGACCGTGCGACAGCCCCCGACAGTGCTGACCTGGCCAGCAGGAACTGCGAGCGAGCCGTGGCGGCGGCGCCGGCCTCGGCCGTCTCGGTCGTCTCTGGCGCTCTCGCCGGCGCGGCGGCGGCGGCAGCGGCGGAAGCGGCGGCGGCGGCGGCGGCGTTGGCGGCCGCTCCGGTCGTGTTCGCCGCCAGGCCGCCGGCGCCGGCCGCGGCGGCCCGCCTGTCGGCGGGGCACACGCTCCGTGTGTTGCCGCACCACCTGCGCCTGCGACGGACACGGCGGCCGCTGGACGGTCAGCGACGGCGCTGGCGGCGCTCCCCCCGGGCCGGGCGTCAAGCTGGCGTCCTCCGCCCGGCCGCTGACGCACGCGCGCGCCGCACAACACGGCACAGGTTGACGACAATGACAAAGGTGATATTCTAATAAACCGTCGCAAATACAGCTCCACGGCAGTGCAAAAAGCAAACAATTCAAGAGGGAATGATCAGTCAATGAGCTGATGGGAGCGGCTGATAGATGGCAAAGCGTTGGCTGATGTTTCTGGCGATTAAAGCCCACATGGAAAGCATCAACACCAGAATCAATCTTGGGCGGGGAAAAGGAAGCAAAATATTGAAACATCAATAGCAAGTTAGTACAGTGTTACTATTCAAAAGCCGGCCACTGAAAAATCCTGTCGAACGGGGAGCGGCACCCCATCACACATGTCCTCCCCCTCCCCTCCCCCTCCCCGGCATCTGGCTAGACGCCCGTCTCGTCGAGTCCCAGCGCACGGAGGAAGCGCGCATGCAGAAGATAGCCCGACCGCGTGGGAGCACCCCCTGGAGCCATCCCATTCCGAGCAGGAAGTGTGATACCGTCGTCGTCGTCACTGGGGCCTTACACCATACTCAGCTACTGACGCTTTATGGCGTCGCCTGCCTCCCACCTTGGTAGGAGGGGCGGGCACCGCGGGGAATCGCACCCCGCACCTCTGGTTTCCCAGACGCGCAGTGGCTAACGCGGGCACTGTAACCACTACACTATCCGCACCCCGCAGGGGGTATGTGGCGTACATCTACACATCAGCAGCGAAGCCAACACGGCTGAAGCAAGCGTATGCAGTCGCCGAAGCGGGAAGAGCCCGTCACGGGCAGGTCGGTGCGTAACACCATCATCTCACAGATTTGGATGCGATTAGTCCTCAGGGCCAGGTGATGCACAAAATCCGTCCCTGCAGCCTTAGTTTCGTCAGAGCAGTGAGGACCGCCCTACAGACTTGGGTATTACCCGGTTGTTCAATACACATTGCAGGTTTCAGTGGTGAACCCAAGCGAAAACAACATGAATGGTAAGAAACCGGATACGTTTAACTCCAAATGATTTCATACATCACTTCTACATTTCGAACTATTCGATTACTGATATTCTTAACTAGTGACATTGCGGCTTTGGATATAGTGACCTAGTACAACACTAAGGCAGAAGATGTCTGCAACTTCAGCAAGCTCAAAATAGTCCCTTAGATAAAGTTCCGACGACAAAATTGTTTTTTTTTACATAAAACTCATACCTTAGAACATACTTCAGACTTCATTTGGATGTTCAACTGCAAATCAACCAAAGAAATGACAAAAGGAACCTAACATCATCCCCCATTTTCTGACGCCAGTGCCTTTGGATGGCTATCAGGTGTCCTGAGGGTGCAGTGTGGTTCTCGGCTGCATCATAGCGACGGTGGCCGATAACAATCCTGGGTATTTTGGATGGGTCGCATGACAGACATTTGGTTTTGACTTCACCTCAAACCAAAAGGACTTAATATGCCATAAGTATGCACACCGCACCAGCCCCACCTTCATTCCTCTGCCCCCCTCCTCTCCTCTGGCCGTTAGCAGGGAGGGTCAAGCAGTGAGCTACTCACATACTGCTGCCGTTCCAGCTGCAGGTGCATCTGCAGCTGCTGCAGCTGCGAGGCGGTGCTGGCCGAGCTGGCCACCGAGCTGGCGTTGGTGGACGAGGCGGAGGAGGTGGAGGCGGCGGCGCGCCGCACTCCCGACAGCTGCGACAACAGCTCTGTGATCGGGTCCATCGACTCCCTGGCGACGGAGGGCGAGGACGGCGCCGCTCAG